TCAGTCCCTTTGTCTATGTCATGGGTGAAGATGTTAAGCAGTATTAGTCCCAGTATATACATCTGAGAGACACAGCTCATCACTGGTTTCTATTTTGTCATTGAGTCATTATTTGTAACTCTTTGGACATGACCATGTGACCAATACCTCATTCATTCTAAGATCCGTACCTCAAACCCATACCTCTCCTATTTAGAGGTAAGAAGGTAGTGCAGGACGATATCAAAGGTTTTACAGAACTGCAGGGAGATGACATTCATAGATCTTCCCTTATTTACCGATGCAATCATTCTTTCAGAGAAGGCTACTAGACTAGTTAGGCATGATTTGCCCTTGAAGCCACGTTGTCTGTCTCTAATCACCTCCGTGTCTTCGACATGTTTCAACATAAATTCCTGAAAGGTCTTTTCCATGATCTTGCCAGGTGAAGGTGGTGTACTGAGTGGTAGGTAGTTCCCAGGGCCCCACCCTCCTTTTTAAAAATTAATGTGCTATTTCCCTTTCTCCAGTAACTGGGGAGTTCACCCGGCTTCCATGACTTTTCAAATATGATGGAGAGCAGCTTGGCACCAAAATATGTCAAATTCCTCAAGGTCCTGGGATGTATCTCATCAGTTCCTATGTCATAGAAGCCTGCAGGATTTATGTAATTTTTGATTTTTCTTATTTTATCCCTTTTTTCCTTTTTTTCCATCCATTTCCTCTATTTTTCCTTTTTACTGTTTTTTTCTCTTTTCATTAGTGCCCTAACAAGCATGGGATCATAGATTTGCAGTTTGTGCAGTTCTTGTAAAAGCATCTGCCTTTCATTATCTGTTGCTATTTCAAGTTATTTCTCCTACTGTGTGTATGTTCTCCTGTGAAGACTGATTTGACTGTTTCTTTTCCATGTTAGATAGTTGATATATTTTGTGACTCAGAGAGATGTACCTGTGACCATATCTACTCTGACTGGTATTGCCTTCCTTTAGTACTGCCTTTCTATTTACTGTCTTTTTTTCATCCTACTGAATTTTCTGTATGGATTAAAGCAACTCATTCTTCGTGACCAGAAGATGAATGTCAAGCACAAGATTTGTCTCACCAAAAGCAGAAGTAACAATGCAAATATCTATGCCTTAGCATATCACCTGCACTCTAAACAGTTATATGTCAAAAAACATGACACTGGTAGAATAAGATTCCTCTTGTCCTAAAGTAAATATCTAAAGTGACTCTAAAATATTATACCCTGCATCAGCCTTTTCTCTCCATTTGTTACAGAGGAAGATGGTCATGAAAGGCTCAGATGCAGGCAGCTACATTTGAGAAATCTGATGTTAGTTGAACATGAAAACATCTCCAAGTTGGTGGCTGATTTTATCCAAATAAATGAAAAGGAGAAACTGAAGAAAAAGTATTAATACTGATATAACTGTTTATCACTGTTAGTAATAAATTAATTGGCCTTTTTTAGAGAAAAAAATGCTTTTCTCCTGTTTTTTGTTTTCTGTAAATACCCAAAACCATCTTGCTCTCTTTTATGTTTTAATAGTACAGCTTACAGAGAGAAGCCTGGTTAAAATTCATACTAAAAAAGGCCCTTCTGATTCTAACATCTTCAACATCTGTGGGAAACAAAAATAAAACACAAAAATTAGACCCTGCTAAACCTGGCTCTGCAGGGAGGATTTTACTAGTGTGTGAATAAATAAAACCATTTGTCCTTATGGACACATGCTGACTGTGCACAGAGGAGGTTGGGGTTGCTTCCCGCCCCCACTCAAGATGTTTTTATTAGAATAAGGTTATCTGTTTACCATCTTGTTTATGTTTCTTTAAAAGAAAGCCACACATAGGAGGCAGCCATAAAAAAAAAAAAGAAAACAACAAAAAAAAGTCAGGAGAAGCAAATGAGAAAGCAGTATATAAAAAGGACATATATTTATAATGCTCTGATAAATAAGCCACCAGCTGTTCTTACCATATATTTTCTCTGGAAATATTTTAATTTTCAAGGAAAAACCATCAATGCCCCTTTTTCATATTTATAACAGATTTTTCATCCTACACATGACTTGTAGCATTATTTGTTATTAAATTTGCTGACACTTTCTTTTTGAAACACTTATTAGTTATATGTAACTTCATACAAATATAACCATGCATGCCCAGTTTACTTTGTTTTTTTTTTTTTAGTGGAGGGATATTGCGAGTTTATTTTTAATTAAACAAATGGTTTTACTTGCTGTTCCTTTTTATCTCTCCTCAACCCATTCTGGTCAGTCTCCTCTCACTTTCTTAATGATGTGGTTTCAGAGGAAAGCCTTGCCCAAATATCCTAAGAGAGATTTTCAGTCTACATATGATCTAACATTTTCAGCTTGTGTAGGAAAACAAGAACACTAAAATGAAAAAGTTGTCTGGGGAAATTTTCTTTAACTATTTAAAAATATGGTTTGTTTTTCCCCTGTTTCACCTTTTTGGAATACAAGGTGTCTCGGTTTGAGAAAATTTGGAGGGGTGGAGACCTCAGACAGAAGTCTTCTCCCTTGAGTTTAATACCCCTAGTTTCTCCAATACAGAGGGAAACCAAAGACGCCCAAACATAACTGAAAAAATAACTCTTTACCAAGAAGAATGCTGATAAAAATACTTATAATAATGGGTTAAACCAACCAATGAGGAGAAGCATGCCAAGCTTCTGGACCAAATCCAGATGGTGGCCTGGCCTCCCACACTCAGAAAAAGAAAACACACACGGACACAGGACAGAGATAGGATGGCTGCCCTTCCATGTCATTCTCCTTCCCCACACCTGGAAACCCTGACAGGAACAGCTGGACAGTCAGTGCTGGAGTGAGGCTGCAGTGCTGGTACAGGCAATCAGAGCAGGGCTGCGGACTCTCCGAGAGGACCAGCAAGACACCCATTGGATCCAGTGATGAGACTTGGTTGTTGAAATTTTGATGTTTGTTGGTCAAAGTGATGGTTGTAGTCTTGTCGTAGTGGTGGTCACAGTCCAGATCCATCAAGCTGGTGGTGGAAGCCCTGGGTGGTAAGGAAAGTCCCATGTGGTGAGGGAAGAAAATCTAGTGTTGTGTGAAGTCCAAATGTGGTCTTTTACTGGGCTTAGGCTAAGTGGGAATGACTCCGCTACTACCCCGGGGAAGGGAGTTCTACACTGGATGATGTAATACTGGATCACGGGACATTTCAGGAATCTTTGACAAGATGTTACAGATGTGTTACGTCAGCACAGGTGGATGCATTACGGTCCATGCTCAGAGATAAATATCTTCAGGCTATGTGTGAATTGTCTCAGTGCTTCTCCAGAGGAGAGTTATCACATTTGAGTCATTTGTGTAAGGACAAAGAAACAACACCCAGCTTGAAGCCTGAGGTGGCAGGTGTTCATGCCCTCAGCATCCCAGTAACCTGGGTGATTACTTTGCACATCGTCACCTTGCACCTGGATTGTCTGAGTCATCAACATTCCAGTCTTTCACACACATCCTTCTCCTAGGGTAATAGTATTATCCTTATCAAGTTCCTTCCACAGTCCAAATGAGTAGTCAGATTTGGGGAAAAGAGAAAAGAAAAGGTGGATATCAGAATTTTTGTGTAACTTAGGACACAAGGCATAGGCTGCTGGGAAATGACCCAATTTGGATAGGACTTTTGAAAAACTACTTATGGTACATAGATTGAGCATGGAATCTCATTTTTATCAGCCAAATATTCTTGGACTCTCCAACTCAGTTCTTCACTAAGCATGTCCCTATTTCTCGCATCTTTCCACTAATCTAATAATGTAAACAAAATCTCTGCTAGCATTCAAAATTGTAAGTGGCTATTATATGAAATTTCTGAAAGAGAAGAATTTCTAAAAACTAGCCAAGAGATAAAATAGGGTTAAGCAGTAACACAAAGTTCATTAACAAGAGACACAAAATTCCCCAAACTATCCTGAGTTTAATTTTTTCCCCTCATTTTCTGCCCTTGAAAGGAAAGCACAAAGGAGAAAACAAAAAAAAAAAAACCCAAAGCCATTTCCCTGACAGCAAGTCATGATAGTGCCTCCTTTGCCATTTATCATGTTTGATTCTCTCAGATTTTGATTCTCTTAGAGAATTCAGTGTTTTTCCTTCTATTTTAGTCTCTTCTCTTCCGACTCTTTTACCATTCTTATCACTGTGGGAAGTACTTTATTTCATTGATTGAACAGAATTTTCTGTACCTGATCTTACAAAATGGGCTAGGTTCTCTCATTCATCAGTTTTAGGATGCATTCTATATAGTTGTATCTATTAATCTCTTTTTCTCTATTTCCTGTTGTAAAGATATAATTTTTTTTGTGGTCGCCATATTTCTCTGTACAGGTTACAGGCTTTTGCAAGTGCAAGGGGAGTTGTTTGTTTTTCCTAAAGTGCTTTCAGGAAGCTAAAACATTTCAAAATCTGATTCTTTCTGTAGGAAAATTTCTTACTCTTTTACATCTGTAGAGAGAAAACATGATGATTTACATATTTTAGAAAGAAGATGCTTGCTATATAAAGGACAGTTCTTTCATATGTTAAGCAAGATCAGTCAATTTTTATCATATTTTTGGTTCCATAAAATCACAACACTGTCTTTGAGGAATTCTTTGCTAGTGGAGATACAGGAATAACAAGAGCCCCCTCCACAGCTGCTGCTTGTCAATAGCATTGCTGTATCAGCAACATGCTTAAGCAATCTGGGATGACAGGAATGCTATTTCCTTTCTCTCTCCAGGTGGGAACCACTCCCCACTCTTTCCATGATTAAAGAGAGTGACCCCAATGTCAGCTGTCTGTGATTCAGGAAATATACTACCTTTTTGTAATGACAGTTTTAGGATTCCAGGTTTTAATGCCTGAAAGTGGGTGGTTTGGTTTGGTTTGGTTTTTTTGTGATGAGGGTGAGAGGGTGAAGGTGAGAATGGAGACAGAGGAAGGGGGAGCTAGTTTGTGTAATCAGTATGTTCACTTACCTTGTTATTAATCAAGAAGGAGTACATAGACTTGTGCTAGCACAGTTATGAACTGCATTGACAAAGGACTCTTCATGTTCTTTCCACATCATATCTTGGTGCACATCCCATATAATGTGTGGTTCTGTTCAGTAGTATTCTTTCAAATATAGTTTTATATCTCCTAAACCATAAGAGGTATATCAGGTATAGAATATTCTTACAAAACAAAGAAAAAAACCCAAACCTATATGTCCTAATTGAGTGAAATCATGCTAACTTCATTCTTTTAACTTACTGGTGACAAGGAAGTTCCATGGGGGGTTACGCAAAGTCACAGGCTGACTCACATTTTACCACAAGCATATGGTCTCTGTTCAGTAAAAACTTTCTTTTCAGATCTTGATATGTGGTGAATAACATACAATAAGTTTCATGTCCATACATAGCATCATTTCTATTAATTGTTCCCAAAGAAACTTGTAAAGGTACCAACTATGACTTGGATTTTTTAAAGTGTGCTTGAAATCAGTGTGGGATAGAGCTGCATTATGTTTACTGTAGAAAATAATGCTACTTGCTAATTGTTAGTAGGAGATAAGCAAAGCAGCCTTTCTGAGGATCAAGTGCCCATCCTACACATGATTCTGGGAGGCTTACTTCAGAATTATCGTTTGGTTGTGTAACCTTAATGTTCACTAACTGTTAAGGACCACAGGGAGATACCAGTCATCTAACTTGAAATAGACACCTTATGAGTGCATAATCTCCTTCTGATAACCTTCAAAGCACCTGTCCCTTGTTGACTCTAGGATCAAATCCAAGACTATTTGACTATACAAAATGCAGAAACTTTCTTTAGAAGGACTGGTTCACTAGGCTCTTCAAGATAGTTGAAATTCATGTGCAAAACTGCATTGACTGGATTTTGTATCAAAAGTGATGTGAAAAGATCTTGCAGATTAAGTCAGAAATGTAGCCTAAAAGCTTTAGTCTACTTCTGTGATTTATAAATTTCATTTCCTAGTTTTGACTTGAAGAAAGTACTGAAAACTGAGGTTACAAAAGACAGAGGAAATGTTGTCTGAACACTAAACTATAGATAGATGCAAAAAATATGAGTCAAATACTTGCAAGTGCCAAGTAAAATTTAACAAGTGAACAGAAAACAACACAAAGGATCAGGAAAATAAGATGTTTTCTTACTGACGAAAAAGAGACTTTCTTCTTGAGGAAAAGATGTAAATACTTCGTTTTATCCCTCCCAAATTGACCAGCAAACTACCTCTATATTCATACAGAAAGAGGAAAAAAACTCAACATTGCTTAGATTTCTAATTTTGTAAACACTTAGCTACTAAGATCTCAGAATTTTTTCTTCTGTTTAAGAATAAATCTTTTGAAGTTTAGAAAGAATAAAGCAGGACATTGGATTTGATAAATGTTTCCTAATTAATCTCCTATACAAGACTTCTTGACCATTATTCTGTCATTGAGTGCTTTCCCATAACCACAATGTTACAAAACTGGAAGTGTATTTACAACAAGATTTAAAAGGACCTAAACAAAGTGCAACTATTTTTCTAAAGTTGACCTCTGCAAACAAAGATCAAACAAAAAAAAATAAACTCAGTTCCTCTACTGTTATCCTTTCATTACAATATCACTGGACTAGGTTCAGGCTTTACTAATTGGTACATACCTGTTATAGGAGTTGGACTAGCAGCCTCAGTCTTGCAGCAGCAGGAGGAAGGGTTGCTATGGAACTAATTACAGCTATCAGCAGTGGTTCTGTTTTAAACGGTGTATGAATTAGGCAGTCTCCTAGAAGCACACACAAGTGAATTTGCCATTAACAATGAACAGCTCTGTGAAATGAATGCAGTATAAATTTACTTAGTCCATTCTGGGATTAGGCAGACAGCTCTACTCTTATTTAGCCTCTGAAGTAAATTTCAGTGAAAAACTTAAGAGGCTTTTCCCTAGCAAAGTGAATTTTGCCACATACTTGGTGCCTTATTACAATACAAACCGTATTCCAATTCCAATTACACTAATGCAAGCTGTGAGTAACTTCATTGTGCTCACTGGAATTACTCTAGATTTACAACAGTGTTATCTGAGATTTACACCTCTATAAATTAATCTGAAATGTGGCCACATGGTCTAGCTGGTTGTTAGCTTAGTAGAAAAAGCATAGTTTCATAAATAGCTCATATCTTTCATACTAATTTGGGACCTCTTCACAGCTGCTTATTAACTCATTTATATTAATTTACTACAACAGAAACATGCCCAATTAATAAAAGAGGTAATTCACTCACTGTTCATGATAAGCAAAACTTTTTCCTTGATATTTCACCTATTCCTACATAATATTTATCTCCCTGAAATGTTTGGTGCTATTCCTAACACTGTAAGAAAGGTTGAGGTTTGTTGTATCCTGGCATCTTCTTGCTAAGGCTGCTGAAGTAACCAGCTTTTTTCACATTGATGACCACACAAGTCTGAGCTATGTATTAGAACTGACCTAGTGGGGAATCCCCAAATTGTATGTTTTCAAGGAGCGTGGGTAGCGGAAAAGGACTGTAATATTAATTAAAATTGTTACACGGGATTGTCAAATTGTCTCAGCCACCCTAGATTTCATTAAACATCTCATTTCTGTTTGGGATCTAGAATTTCCACAGCTATAGCAACAAGTAAGACAAGCTACATTTTCTTTTATATAAAATGGATGGCTTTTAAAACTTCAAGAAAATTAGATGTGCCCTCTATCTTTCTTCTTGCACTGTCCATTGGGCTTTTGGTTATTTTTTTCATAGGAGAACTTCATATAATGGAATTTGCAGAAGAAAAATCATGCAAATTATGATTAGACTAAATTAAGCTGTCCTCAGCTCTATTAGTGAGCTAAGGCCAGGCTGAGTTGCCTCCCGGAGGCCTCATTGTTCACTCTTCTAGGCAATAAAATAGTTGCTCCAGAGTCAATATTGTATATGAGACAAGTTGCTGGAGCTCCCATCAATGAGGAACCTGACCCAAAGACTTTATAGCAACAAATCATTCAGTTTCTACACAGATAATTTAACTCCTGTTCTTCTCAGTCCAACAGAGAAATTACAGCAATGTTACTGTAGACAGGTGCTTTCCTGATCTTCATGTGGGGAAAATGTCCTTTCTTAGAGATGGCAGTCATGACACCATATGGGAGTAATAGTGTGTCAGACTACACATTCTGGTTTATGATACTTGTAATCATGTACTCCAAACCAAAGAAGCAATGTGCACCAAACCCCAAACCTGCATTTGGAAAAGAAAATAAGAGTAGAGAAAAAAAAAAAGTAAATGAACTAAAAAAGTCAGTTCCAAAGGAAATGTGTAACAACAAACACAGATTACTTATCATCACCTGTATGACTACTTGCACAGGTACAAAATTGAGGTCTAATGCTACTACTTTGATTTGTAGGAATATAGTACATTGTTTTGTCACAGAATAAATATAATGTGAAGAAACAAAATAAAACATTCATCAGCTATAAATTCCTGAAGTTTTGAACTTCTTTATTATTTCTTTCATAATGGAATGAATTTAGAGAAATAAGAGGAAGTAAAGAAAGCTCTTTTCCTTTGGTGCTTCAAATGGTACTATGACGCATATTTCACCTTCTGATCCTTAGAGACTGGTAGTAATAGAAGCATGTTTGGATACCAGCATACTTCTATTTTGTTTTACTGTTAGTAATGAAGCAATGAAACAACAAAAAAACACCACTTTTCTTTGTCTCACACATACGTGTACAAAACCACAAACAGACCCTATTTAAGTAAGTTAAATTCTTAATGTTTTCTTTTTTTCCCTGAGGTAAGATATCTGGAAGATAGAATGGAGGAATATTACTTTTTAACTTCTATACTTGCTGAAGAAAAAGATGTAGGGAGAGTTCAAGGATGGAAAAATATCTTTAAGTTGTACTGTATTGCTGCACAATATTTTGATCTGGATTCTCATTAGTGTTCTAATTACCAATTTTTTTGGTTATTATTATTAATAATTATTATTTTTTATTTTTTTTAATCTTGTTACTTAGTTTCCAAAGTCAGCTCTACATATCTAGGTACATAAAGTGTTGGAGTTTTTTTCCTGTTTTTTATATTCTTTGCAAAACTGCCTAGATGGCTACATTCCAACCGCTCCAGAAAACAAGAGTTAGCAAGCACCTAATCAATGTACTGTATCCAAATGCTTAATCTACTTGCATATTGTAAAGCTCCCACCAACACAGACAAAGTAAAACCTTAGTCCAGGCTATCCATTGGAAAGGTGACAACTCCTGGAGGAAAAATTGCAATTGAAGTTAAACAAATGGGGCAAACAAAAGCCATTGCAAAAATTACCAAGGGCCACATAGACACTCACAAGATAGCTCTGGGATTTCGCAATTATGAACAAATCAGTACTATATCACCTCACGAAAATAAACAAATCACACTTTGCCTCTTGTACCTTTTCAGGTGGGAAAGAGTTGGTACTAGACAATTAAAAAAAACATTTGCCTGTTAAATTATAATGGTACTTACTCCAGTTTATATGTCATCCCTTGGGTAGCAAGTTTAATTTGCTTGCATAGCTTATGTTGGTTAGCTTGGTGGAATAAACTGTGCCAGAAAAAAAGAAAAAAGTTTTCTCTTTATTTAGTTTGTATAAAAATGTGAATTTTTTGAAAAGAAAAATCACATACGTTATCAGAAAGGGTTTGCGGTATAGATGTGGTACAAATGCTTGTAAAGAGCTTGAAAATATTTAGAAAAATAAAGTTTAAACATTATAATTCTTATATTATGGTTTAAATTGCAACATCCAACATCCTTTATGGCTCTCACTTTCTATTAGACATATTAATTTACTTGTATGATTGCTTTCTCCCCATCTCCACAACAAGGTTAACTGAGTATTCCATATACAATAAAGTGTTCTTATTACGCCTACATTATGGCCAAGGAGCTGAGACTCAGAGGATGTGGTGGATTTACCATACATCACAGGTATCTAGTTGTGAAACACAGTGCAAACTTCAGAAGATCAGAATATGAACTTGTTATTCATTGGATACTTAAGGGCCTTAAGTCCAACTACAATTTTCCAAGCATCCGTAAAGTATATTTCTTGACACGCCCAGAAGTCTTGGCAGTGCTTAAAAACTTGATAGATTACCTTGTGCTAAGGGTTCCTAAGGAACTACAAACTAAATATTTATCTCCCTGTCTTGTCCATGTACTTGCTGTAGTAGATGTTCCCAGAACAAGCCTGCTAAACCACATTGTGTGCGAGAAACAGCTGCCAGCTGTAGTGCCATCACTATCTCCTAAGAAGGTAATAAGAGAAAAACTGTCATTCATACATGAGAAATTATGTTTAATTTCCTCTTCTCACTGGGGGAATTTAAATGAGTGCCTCTAAAACACTGGAGTATGCAATAGCATGTAGCATAAAATATACACTAGGTTCAGATGGGATATTTTGTCCTCTCAAATCTAATTTAATTTGTACAGAATAATTAGAAAGAATAAAAGTAGCAAGTTAGAGCATGAATACAGGAGTGGGTGCAAACAGGCTTGATCACAGAGTGGCTTGACAGTGTGGATATGCTGCTGTTGTGTTTTGTCCCCACAATCACAAGACTCAAGCTGGCCCAACACAGCTGCCACAGGGCACTGGAAGAGCTACCTGGATAGCAATTGGTTTCGACTCTAAGAACTGCTGCTTATTATACATGCTAGAGAGGCTATCCCGCTGCCTACTGTTTACTTCAATCAGAATATATTTTTCAGAATTAAAGAACAGATTTGAATCTCCTGATTACAAACCATTAAGTGATTGTCTATGACTGTCTAAAAGGAAGTTCTTTCTTTGCTTTTTTATTTGTATCTAGGACAGAAAGAGAGAGACTGCAAATTATGAGCAGATGAACTATGTTTTCTTTAGAGTTATGAAAATGTCAAAGCCAATATGTTTAGCCACCAACTAAACAAGAGTGGGTGTCAAAAGGAGAAAAAACACATCACAAGTGCAGGAGTCGCTCTAAAAATCTTAGTCATGCTTAGCCATTCTTAGCCATCCTGAGCCATGACTGCTGCTTACTATAACAATCACAAAAAATCTGCATATATATGCATATATGTGCCAATTCTGTTCAAAACCTACTGCTTGTTAAGAGGCCAATATATGTGAGAAGATTTTTTTTCAATGTATTCTTTTATGATTTACAGGGATGATTACTTTAATTAAGATAGAAGATGCCAGGCGTGTTAGAGAATAAGAATTCATGGCAGACCACGTAAACTTTTCTGAGATTTTTCAGGTCTCACAATATGCCAAGTGCTTTCCTGGAACACACTAAAACTTAGGTACTAGCACACTTTCACCAGAAAAGAAAAAAAAAAAAAGGATGGATATCAATGACTTACTTTTTGAAACATGGGAAAACAGTCACTCAGAACTTGAGTAAACTGATCCAACTGACCATCTCTACATATAATTGTCCTTCAGCGTTGATAACTAAATCTCTAATTCCAGTGGGGAAAGAGCTCACTTGAAAACCTAGACGTGGGCTTTTAAAATGTCAAAATGTAAAGCTGGGGAAAAAAAAAAAAACAAAGAAAAAGAAATGAGCTTGCGATTGCTATTTTTGCTGACAGGTTTAAAGAAGAATAACAGTCCTTTTGACCTTGACAATTATCAGTTCCCTATTTGGCTTTTCTTTTTGTGTGTGTGTGTTTTGCCAGGTTTTACAAAGTTTCAACACTAAAGAAGATAAATGACAATGAAGACTATCAGTTGTCCTGCAGTATTTTCTACACTGCCCAGGGATTGCACTTGTTTTTCGTATACTAAGCACAGAGATGGGCTGTGCTAAGCATTTTATCAAATTTGAAGTCAAGGTGCTGGTGTAATAATAATCTTCTGTGTAATTTGCCTTCTGGCACAAAATTTGTTAGCCAAATATCCTCTCTTCATTCTTTTTTAGTAAAGCTTTGAATGAAATTGAAAACCTGAGCAAAATTGTTCCTGAAATTCTGCTGTTCTAATTTCAATTCAAAGCTATTTTAAAGTAGTTCTCAAGAAAAATAATCAAAGGGAATCTTTCTTTTTCAATATTCCTGTCCAAGAAAAAAACCCCAAAATTTTAAAACGGTAAAAATAATAAACTGGAAAAATGTATCTGCTCCAATGAGAAATGACTGAAATGCATAAATTGGCCAATAACAGTCTCAAGAAGTTTTGGTTTTGCTGATGCCTTAAACTGTGAAAATAAGATTGAAAGTATAAAACAAGTAAATAAATAAAAAAGATTCATTGAGGATCTGAAGATTATGGGCACAAAGTATCCCACGGAGGTTGTGTCTCCATATTTTATTCCATATGTGCTTTTTTAGATCATCTCCAGCTCTGTGCTTTCTCAGATTATTTCAAGCTCTATCCCAAAAGGTTTGACTTCCTATTTAATCCTGAGATTGTTTGCTGACATACTTCAGTGTATGCAATATATAAGCAGTGTTTTATGGCGTACTAATATCATTCTGGTTAGCTGCAGTACAGGTTTCAAAATATAAAGGAGAATTTGAACTGAAACAATTAACACAAAAAACCCAGTTACGATTATAAACTTATTTGAATGGCACACATATAAACCAGAGAAGAGGCAAATCCAAGCACTATATTGTATGGGCATAGATGATGCTTCTTATAGGGAGCTGGCTGGTACAGTAGATGCAAACCAATCTAAATAATTTGCCATGGATCACTGTCTCAAACAGATGAATTTAGCAGTGCTGATGTGAATGCTTCTCTCTGAAACTGATTTCTCTTGTATATCGGGATTTCATTTGATGTTTACCTCAGTTTATCTGAGGAGAACAACTCAGGATCCATTCCTCCAAGCAAGAATTGCATCCATTGTTTCAGAAAAAAAAAAAAAGGCTCTTTTCTGTGCTTATGTTTTATATAATTCTATTTAATTCAGAAATGGATGATCAGGATTAACTACTGTCCTGAAACTGTTGGAAATCTCCTATAGAACTGCTTTATCAAACCAAATGCTTGGTAAGTTTGAAGGTAGAATGACTTCCATTCTTTCTATACTGTGGATTAAAAAATTATACAATTGGCTGATCAGAAAACTGGTACAGGGGCTACCTGAAGGAACAGAGAACGTGAAGAAAACTTTTACTTCCAGCTGAAGTATGGAAATTAGTAGAAAAATATGTACTGATACATTTGTCAGTACAGGAGGAAATGTTTGCTGCACTCACCATGCTCTAAAAAGATTGCTGTTTAAACACTTTATGAGATGGCAAAACTTGTCAGTATGAATTCCAGGCCAGACTAGGCTTTGGAAGAAAGCTGGGTCTGCTGCCTGTGAAGGTAGGAACTAATCACCGAGTTTCTTGAATGAGGGAAGCTCTTACAGACATAAAACCAGAAGGTAGCTAGGAAAATCTGAAGGTAATACGGAGATGATAGCTGCAGTTGTTAGTGCTTTACCTCTATATTAGTTTCACTAAATCTTTTACTGTTTTCTGGAACATCTTCGGTTTATGTGTTAGTATATGGTATTTATTTGATTGCCAGAAGCTAAAATCACAGTTGTTTCATCTTTCACAGTATAAAATTCACATTCTATCTTTTGCAGACATGAGCTAGGCCCACCTCTCACTTGAGCTCATGACTATGTGAGCTCTGAGTCACACTATGTAGCAAAACTACTGTTCAAGTCAGCATAGCTGGGATTCATCTCACCTAACTTCTGGAACTTGATTAATCTGCCCTGGTTTGGATGCCAGCTTTAGGATGAGATGAATCACCTTGTAGTAGTGCCTGTTTTTCTCCACTAACTGCAAAAGAACTCTAGACAACTGTCTCAGGTGCAGATTTCTACTCTGTGGATGGTTAGTTAGGTGAGATGAGCCTCAGTTGAGTTTCAGTAAAAGCTATGGTCAAATGAAGCATATGGAGTGGATTCATAACCTACCTTTTTTATTGTTCATTCCTTGGCAAAAGCAAAGGCTTCATCAATATATCTTCTAGCTAGGTTTCTGGAGGAGGTACTGGTAAAAAAAGTAAAATTTAATAACAATAATATGCAATCTTTTGTGTGCAATAAGGGGTGGATTTTTTTTCCCAGAAAGTTGTCAGCCTTAAGTAACTGTCAGCAAGGGCTTAGAGTTCTGAAGGAGGACCAAAGAGAGCTGACATACTGCTTAAAATGTATATGCTTCTAATACATCACAAGCATTCAAATTGCAGTGACTACAACACATTTAGTGCCTTACCATGGTATGTAATAGGCATTAAGTTAGACCATTTGGTTTCATTTGGGGGTTTTGATTTAGAACATTCCAATTTAGGCATTGCCATGCTCAACATTGGTTTCTAATCTAGTTGAATTGCTTTATTCATCATACTGTAATTCTGTTTTTCCTACAGTATTTTGACCTACAGTGAGACCTTACTGAAAGAATGGAAGTTGAGGGGATTGAAGGATTCTCAATCAATTGACAGATTGCCATCACCTTCCCAGTAATTTTCAATTCTTATGCATGAATCTCATGTCAGAGCATAAATATATTTATCACAAAAAATGCAATAAAATTCATGGCTAGCAGAATGCATGCATAATAGTTTTGAAATTTTGTAATGTATAGAAGTTGTTACTTAGAGAAAAATGCTTTGTACATGGTGCATGTAGATATGCGTATGTACACATATACATACAAATACATGTGCGTACATATGTTTATATGACTGAATGGTGGAGGGAAACAGACATTTTTTAAGAATTACAAATGAATGTTTAATCTTGACAAGGCTTTATTTGTTTGAGAATCAAATCCCTTCTCTGGTTCCTCAAAAAGCCAATTATCAGAAAGATTCTCTTTCGCTCCTGTTATTAACAGATAGACATTGATGACAGTTTAACTTGGTTTCAGCACAGCTCTTGGGCCACAGCTGCTTACCAGGCAATCTAAGTACCACTTGAACGCTCAGTTGCAGATTGACCTTGTGGTAATTGAGGTTATGAAAAGGCTCTTGTTCTCTAAAATCTCAAATGAACACCTCTCCCTCTGGGAGACAGCAGGATATTCAGCAATAGCAGCCCTGCTGAACCTGCAAGATTCTTTCTGCCACTCTGGTCAGTGCTGAGGTCAGGATGAGAAACAAATGTCTATGATGGGATATGAGGAATGTAATGGAGTAGCAAGTTAAAATGAAATTATTTGGACTGCAATTATTTTCCCTTAATCGTGCCCAATTCTACCACCCCAAAAAGACCTGCTAAGTATTTGAAAACATATTTTTAACACTTTCCTCACTTGTATCAAAAGAAGTACTTTGTGTTCTTATTCTTGATTTTTTTATAATTTCCCTTTAAAAAAAGAAAAAGAAAAAGAAAAGAGGGAGTAACGACAGGTTAACATCAGATTTCTTTAAAGCACAGAACCATCTGGTGAAGTTATCAATGATTTCACTTTGCAGCATGAGCCAGCATTGAACATCTCTGCCCCTGCCAGTAATTTTAACATTACAGTCAATGGGAATTAATATTGAGGTTTTCAGAGGAAATGGGGGTAATTAAACTAATCATGAGAAGTACACAACAATTATTGTTATAATTTTAGATCTCAAGCCAATTAGCTATACTAGCCATTTTCTTTGGCAAAAGCTCACAGTTTTTAGTAGCTAAATATAAGATTAAAATCAGTGATAGCGTAACATCTTTTAGCTACTCATCTTAGGTTAGGACTTTTTGTTTTGATTTTAAGGCTGTATACAAAATTAAGAGAAGGCTTCCAGTGGCAGAATCCTTTTTAACAACTTATTAATGCTCATTGGGCATCCCTACTGGAGATACAAAAAGGGGTTAGCTACAAAGAAACCAAAGACAAACATGGATGCTCAACGTGAAAATCTGAACAATGAACACCATGAATTTAACAGACTGTCTTGTCTGAAGATTTTGATGGCTGTAACAAGTGTATTAGTGTACATTAATCATTCTTAGACAGGTGAAGTTGTCACTGTAGAGAACCAAACCTAAGCATTTGTCTCAAACATTCTGAGTACTGGTACAGGAAAGGTATGGTGGGAGGAGAGGGTCCTCCAGAATGAATTCTCAGGTGAGGTGCCTCCCACTGAATCTCTGATGAGTCCCCTGGGTGAGGTCCAGAGTAAATTCTCAGGTGAGGAGCCTCCCACTCAAGAGAGAGGCCCTCTACAGAATTCCCAAGAGGGTTTCTTCCCTCGTGGGCTCTAGAAATACTTAGGGTCAGATTTGCAATTCCTGGAGTCTCGAGTGACTCCATTAAAGTTACTTGTTTTAATTCGGAATCCCTGGAGACGTAGAATCTCCTGTCAGACTGCAAATCACAGAGACTTAGAGCCTCCAAAAGTCCACGGGATGGATGTTACCAAATCTATGAATTCAGGGCAATACCCAGAGACCTAAAGTCTCAACCATGGTTTGCAGCCTGGAGATCTCGACTCTCTGTTGCACTATACCCTTCCGGTATAATGGTCGTGGCATCTATTGCACTATACTTATCAGGTATAGTGACTGTAGA